GTACTGTGCAAAACTGAAAATAATATTCTCACTAAATTTGCTTTGTGATGGTTTTGATCCTATTCACAGAAATTTGCAGAGCCTGTGACTTTATGGTGAGTTACAAGTTTCCTTGTTGGGTAATAAAAGCCTTATTTTTATAAAAATGCTCTGCTGTCCTTCATAAAGACAGACAACTGGTCACCCTAGTCAATATATAGATTTCCTATGATATGTTGTTTAAAACAGTATAATGCAAATTTGCTGGTGTAAGAGATTTTAACATTTTATTTGAAATAAACTGACATGATCACTTAGATCTCATTGCTCTCACCTCACAGGTTTCAGCACTTCTTCTTTCAACAGATCACCTAGAAGCCAGTAGAGGTCAGCAGAAAGATAAACCACCTCCACTTTGCATAGCCTTATGTGCTAACTGTATATCTGAACACAAAATTTGGTTATCAGGACTTAAAATTGTATATCTTGTAAATAAATGACAATAATCATATTAATATGACTTCCTATCCAGAACTTTACAAGCGTATCTGTGCGCTGTGAATACTCATTTACATGTTTTATTTTTGGTTTGTTATTTTTAATAAATTAGCAAGAATTTCTAGCATTTTTTTCTTTGCCATTTTGGTGTGTTGTGCATTGAAGAGGTGAAAAATGAATAGAATCCATTTTGGAATGACGTTGGTAAAATGTTGAACCCATGTCATTAGTTTCCCGATGTGCCATTATATCACGTTTTATGTTGTTGTGCAGAAAGTGGAAGTGTTGCATCATGCCAGTGAATTTGACAGGATGTGGTTCATTTTCTGAAACTGCTTAAACAGGCGTCAGCCGAAGTGGTTTGACTCATTTCAGCCTCAATCATTGCTAATGTGAGCCAAGTCGTGCAAAGTACAGACCAGACAAGTAACCAAACACAACAAAAATACATTTGCACCTTCTGCAAGCCGGAGAACCGAAAGACAAAAAACCCAAAACAGCAAAAGCATATTTAATGCTCTTCAAAATGTCTACAGTCTTGGCTACATTGTGATATTACTGTACAGATTTCAACAACTCAGGTACTTTTATAAGGTTTATAAACTGTATTACTTGTGACTTTTAACCACCTGAAGGTAACATGCGAAAAAAATTATTTAACAAATACACACAGTCACCAGGAAGTGTGTCATGCTCTCCAAGGGTGTCTTAGAAAGCTAGTGTGTATTACCACAAACACATACCAGAAGATACACACGCAGAGCCCAGATAAGAAATATGGTAAATGTATAAAAACCAATAAAAGATCTAATCATAAAGTATATTTTTTTAAAAAAATCAAAAATCTAATCTTTTAATCATCCCAGCTACACATGCACAGACAGGCAGCAGCGTCAGAAGTCTGAAATACTCATTTCATGGAAAAAAAACCCCAAATCAAAGCGTGCGGCATATTACACAAGACAGTGTTGCAAGAGCTGACTAAATGAAAACTGAAACGTGTTCAAACGAGACAGCCGATGTGTTTTGCATGACAAAGATTTCTCAAATAAAAGTGAGTTAATATTTTTATTAAGGAAGAACATCACGATCCAGCAAATATGTACATTTTATGCTGAATAATTAACTGCAAGTGTATTTTTTAAAGTGTGAATAAGGAATTGATAATATATGATGCTTGTTCTAAAAACAAATATTTAAAGATGATCAACCAAGAAACTTCAGGGTAAAGTGTTGAATATTTATAGCATTAACTATTCATGTGAAATCCATGGGAGTATGTAACAATAGTTTGTAAAACACAATACAAAGAAAATTGGACAGAGTAAAGAAGGCGGCATTAAAGCAACCGCAGTGGCAGATATGCAGTGTCAGTGGCGTTAAAACATCACTGACATTACATAACCGCAAAATTTCCCAGATTTCAGTTGTAAAAAAAACAAAAAAACAAAATCAGGAACATTACTTTGTAGAAAGAAGCCAGTTTGGGCCTGATAAGAATGTAGACTTTAGTAATTAAACTGTCCACACGGAGCTATAACATAATTTAATGCAACGATGAACATGTAGAGAACCTTTTTCTTTTGGGGGTGGGTATGGTTAAAATTGATCATGTCCTGTGGAAATCTACTTTCAAAGAATTAAAAATACTTTCCTATCAGCCTGCACAAACTGCTATCCAACAACTCAAAAAAAAAAAAAAATCAAAAAAATCAAATGAAACCTTACATTTCATCACTGATGACGTCCAAGACATCCTTGGCTGTACATTACCTTTAAAAACATACATCTCCAACTCTCAACCTTAACCAAACACCAGCCTGTCTTTTCTCATCGATCAGATGGGTTTGGTGGTGCTATTGTAGACCAGAGCGTCTCTGCTCGGCTCCATCGTGGTGTACGTTGCATTACTGGCAGGCAGACGATGGTGCTGGGACTTCCTTCCCTTTAGGAAGTGGTACGCCAGGACGGCTAGAACGATGACAATAGCCACACCCAACACGATAGCTAACGCTAAAATGGCTGTTAAAATGAATTAAAAATAAGCATTACAATTACAGACAATTACAGCATTACATTTTTGGTCATATAAGATCTGAGCTTGAAAAGAGGGTGAAGAGTAATGCTCTTGATGTAAAAGTGATAGGATGGGTATTTAAACCTCAACTGGCAAGAAATTATTTTCCTTTGGTACAGGCATAAATAAAAATAAAGGGTAATATACCTGTTTGGCTGTTACTCTCACTGGTTTCGCTCTCTTGTCTTTCTCTTAAATATACATCATTTTCTGAAAAAGAAAAAGCGGTATGTCATAAAAAAAAAAAAAAAGAGTTCCTTTAATATTAAAAACAATCTTTCAGAGGAAAGAGCAGGTGTAAAACCACTGCTGAAGTTGGAAATTGTTGGTAAACTCTTGAACTTGTAACACAAGTTAGTAAAGGAGTTCTGAAGTGTGAAGTATATA